AAGCAATTGAGGAACAACCTGTGGTAACAAAGGAGTGCAGGAGCAGGGCCGCCCTGAATCCTAAACCCTAAACCCTAAGACCTGTGCCCTAAACCCTAAACCCTAAACCCTAAGCCCTATGCCCTAAACCCTAAGCCCTAAGCCCTGAACCGTAAACCCTAAGCCCTGAACCCTAAACCCTAAGCCCTGAATCGGTGCCCTGCCTCCTCGGCTGGCAGTGGCTGTGCACCCTCGGCAGCCTCAGCTAACCAGGGGCCTTAATGAATAGAACAGGGTCTTGGAGGCTATTGTAGAATATCTATAGGTTTCGGGTTTAGGGTGTAGGGCATAGTGTGACCCAGGAGTAAACTAGAAACAAAAAGGGTGCACTGTGTGGCTTTGAGGGGATTGCAAGCGACCCTAGACCCTAAAAAAGGGAATAAGGGCCTACTCCGGGTGCTAGGCTACCCCAGTAATGCACCCAACACATAGCAATTAATTAAGCCGTGCCGGGGCCTAAGTACCCGAAACCCTAGACCCTGTACGTTTAGGGAACGTAGTGCGTACGTTCTGGGTACAAGGAGGGGCCCCCTTACTATACTAACTATATTTAAGGGACTTATGACCTTGCTTAGGATCCTTACAACCCAAGTTAGGGTCCTTATGACTAACTCTACTTATAGCCGTGGGAGCCCCTCCGTATAACCAGCCTAATAGGGCTTGCCGGATGCATCTTCTTCTGTTTAGGTGTGGAGGGTGATTAAGGCGACCCCAAAACGCTAAACCCTGCACCCTAAACGGGGTTCAAGCGGAAGGGTGCCCAAAACTAAGCGTTCTCAAACTCCGATGCCTCAACCCGCTTCTTGCCGAACATCGCTTTCCTCTTGGGCATTCTTTGGCAAACCCTAAACCCTAAACCCTAAACCCTAAACCCTAAACCCTAAACCCTAAACCGGGCAGATGATAGGTTCCTTATCTATGAGTTAGTACGGTAGGGGGCTAATCCAAAACCCTACACCCTAAGGAAAACCCTGATTAATAGCCCCTAGTTAGAAGGTTTAGGGTTTAGGGCTTAGGGTTCTCCATCATTTTCCCTGTCATCGTCTTTTGCCTGCTCCGGGGGAGGGGTGGGACGTCAAAGCGGGTCTGCACCCTGAAGTCCTAAAACCCTACCCCGTGATTGTTGGGGATGTGGGGATAGAAGAGCCCTGAAGCCTAAAGCCTTAAGGCTTTGCATATGGGCTTGGGCCATACCCCTCCAGGACATACGTTGAGCTTGATTTAAAGCCCAAGAATATACGGTATATCCTGGTAAGACACATCGACCCTCAAGGGAACTCAAGATTGACCAAGAGAAGCTAGACACAAGAGTAGCCCTAGGAGTAAAAAGGTTGCCCTTTTTGGATTCAAGGGGCATCTAGGGGAGCCGAAACACACGATCATGTCTATGTATCCATCTTGTGACAACTTCTTATAAGTTTCGTGCCAACAATCTACCTTGGCATACTAAACCCCAAACCCTAAACCCTAAACCCTAAACCCTAAACCCTAAACCCGAGAAACACCTCGCGGCCTCAGGCCCGAAACCCCAAAAAGGGTTTAGGGTTTAGGGTTTAGGCTAAGGGCTTAGGGCTTAGGGTCTAAAACCTGCAGGCTTGAGGGTCCTGAAAATTCAAGCTCGACCTGGCAAACGAGTCTCTGTATTCGCTGCCAACTCCATTGAGTCACCAGTGACACCAGTGATCGCCACCAGCCTTGTTTCTGAAGAGACTTTGAAGTGTAAGGGTTAGCTTGCTCCCCTTCTCATGGTGAGGGTTACCTTAACAAGCGTTTGCAGCTATACTCCCCCCCCCCCCCCCGCCCGGCAACATAACCCTCAGGGGAGGACACCGTGGGGTCGTTAGATTTTAAACTAAACTCGGTCTACTCCTCGCCCATCACCCTAAACCCTAAACCCTGAACCCTGAACCCTAAACCCTAAACCCTAAACCCTTCAGCCCCGGGCATGCCTTCCTGTAGTGCCCAACCCCAGAGTCTGGAGTACCCAGCTGTGCCCAACCAAAGAGTATCCCCAGAAACTGCCTGCAGCGTTTAGCCCCCTAAACCCTAAACCCTAAACCCTAAACCCTAAACCCTAAACCCTAAACCCTAAACCCCTGGAGCCCCCAACCGCAGAGTGGGACGCAAAATCCTTACCTTAAGGGTGGGGATGCTAGAAGTAAAATAAGCTTGTTGGCAATTCTTCAGTATTCTAGTATATGCAAGGAGGGGCCCCCTTTCTATACTAACTATAGTTAAGATACTTCTAACTAACCTAAGTTAGGATCCTTATAACCCAATTTAGGGTCCTTAGAACTCTACTTATAGCTAGGGGGGGGCCCTCCTTGTACAATGAGTGCGTATGGTATGGAATGGCTCATTCATGTTGTAGTGGTTGAGAATCGCCGTGCGCTTGTAGTTTAGCAACTATGGGTTTTGCGATTGGCGCTGTGATTCTGTTGAATACCATTAACAGGGCCTGTGCCACATTCTGCTTCTGCTATCTATCCATCCTTTCTTCTTCCTGCTCTCACTGTCCAGAAGAATCACAATCATTGCTCTCACTATGGCTATCGCTTCTATTCTCCTAATTTGCTTGTTCTCAGTACATCTTACAAGGAGGGGCCCCCTTATAACCTAAGTTAGGATCCTTATAACCCAATTTAGGTCCTTATAACTCCACTTATGGCCAGGGGCACCCCTCCTTGTAGGGGAGATACAAACGTAGGCCTCTAAGCCCCAAGCTCCCATCAGGGCCTTCTACAACCGGGCTCTGTTGGGGGGTCCAGTCGAAGCAAAAACCCCAACGAAACCCCAAATTTTCAACAGGACTTGGGAGTTTGTGGGGCTGCCCAAGACCCCAAAACCCCGAAAAACCCCTAAACCCTGACGCCGTCCATCCCTAAACCCTAAACCCTAAATCCCAAACCCTAACTATACCCTAACCCCTCCCACCCGAAAACTGTCCGAGGGGCTGTTGGAGAATATGGTTCAGCTCTCCTTCGACGTATGTGAAGAACTTGCCTTGATTTCCTGAAGGCAGGGCTTAGGGTTTAGGGTTTAGGGTTTAGGGTTTAGGGTTTAGGGTTTAGGGTTTAGGGTTTAGGGTTTAGGGTTTAGGGTTTAGGGTTTAGGGTTTAGGGTTTAGGGTTTAGGGTTTAGGGTTTTGGGAGGAAGGCTCAAGGGTGCTTAAAGCGGCCCATCCCTACCCAAACAATATTAGGACATGCATTACGCAGGCCGATTTCTTGACTAAGTTCGGGAACCCTAAACCCCAAACCCTGAACCCTGAACCCTAAACCCGAAACCCTAAACCCTGAACCCTAAACCCTAAACCCTAAACCCTATTGCTGGCAAGCGTCGGATTAGCCAGGTCTGATCCTCGGGTCGCAGGACTTATGGGCTTTGGATGCCTGGTGCATTGGGCGAAGTAGGGTTTAGGGTATACCGTAGGGTTTAGGGTTTAGGGTTTCGGGTTTAGGGTTTAGGGTTTGGGGTTTGGGGCTTAGGGTTTGGGGTAAGGAAGTGGCACCCTAATAGATCTTCCCTTCGGGCCGATACCCTTCACCCTTCCTTTGTGCCATCCCCGGGGCCCTGAACCACAACACCGAAGCGCTGAGAAAGGCGAGGTGTGCGTGCACGCACGCTCGCGCGCGTGGGTGCGTGTGTGTGTGCGTGTGCGTCTCTGCGTGCGTGTGTAAGCCCTACAGCCCTACAGCCCTAAAGCCCTAAGCCCTAAGCCCTACGCCCTAAACCCACGCCCCAAGTACTCCTCGTTTTGGGAGTCGGGGTAGTACAGGCTACCACAGTCATGGCGTTCAGGAATGTGGCTAAGATTTGCCTGCATTATTTGTAGTTGTAAGTAGAGTTCTAATGAGGACCCTCAACTGGGTCATAAAGATCCTAACTCAGGTTACAAGTCCCTTATAAGTATACTTTGCATAGTAACGGGGGCCCCTCCTTGCATACTTAAGCACTAAACCCTAAATCCTAAACCCTAAATCCTGAACCCTGAACCCTAAACCTTAAACCCGAAACCCTAAACCCTAAACCCTGAACCCTGGACCCTAAACCCTGAACCCTAAACCCTAAACTCTATACTGCTTGGCCCATGCGGCGTGGATGACTTTGCCCACGTCGATAGCTCGGGCTGGGCCCCGGAGCCGCAAGCAGCCCATTAAAAACTCCTGTGCTTAGGGTTTAGGGTTTAGGGTTTTAGGGTTGAGGGTTTAGGGTTTAGGGTGGAGGGTTTAGGGTCTAGGGTTTATAATTGGGGTCTAGGGTTTCGGGTTCAGGGGGGGCATCTCAGTTTCTTGAACATCTAGGGTGTCTAAGGATTAAAACTTTGGGGATGGGGTGTTGTAAGTCGCTCCAGGTGCAAAATGCAAATGGGGTCAATCTGGCGCATCCAACCTGCACAAATTCCCTCTGCTGGTGGACAGACGCACTGGTCTTTGAATCATGGACCCATCCCTCCCTCCTTCGCCCCCCCTCGCCCCTCGCCCTCCCTCGCCCTCCTTCGCCCCCCCTCGCCCCTCGCCCTCCCTCGCTCTTCCTCGCCCTCCCTCGCCCTCCCTCGCCCTCCCTTGGCCTTTCTCTCTTTCTCTCTTTCTCTCTTTCTCTCTTTCTCTCTTTCTCTCTTTCTCTCTTTCTCTCTTGCTCTCTTTCTCTCTTTCTCTCTTTCTCTCTTTCTCTCTTTCTCTCTTTCTCTCTTTCTCTCTTTCTCTCTTTCTCTCTTTCTCTCTTTCTCTCTTTCTCTCTGTCTCTCTGTCTCTAGGTCTCTCTTGATGTCTCCCTCTCTCTCTCTCTGTCTTTATCCCTGTCTTTCTCGCTTTCTTTCCCTCTTTCTTTCTCTCTCTCTCTCTCTCTTTCTTTCTCTCTTTCTCTCTCTCTCTCTCTCTCTCTCTTTTCTCTCTCTTTTCCCATAAATCTGATGGAAATAATTCAGCTGATGGCGAGGACATAAATAGTCAATTTATACATCAACCTAGTACGTCCCTCTCTCTCTCCCTCTCTATCTCTGTCTGTGTAGCTCTGTCTCTCTGTCTCTGCTTCTCGCCCTCTCTCCTGCGTTGAACTAGGACATGAAAGTGGACGGCTCAATAGCTTTTAGGGTTTAGGGTTTAGGGTTTAGGGTTTCACACCAGCCTGACCTATAAGCCAACCTTATATCGCAACTCCTGAGTACGGTGTGCCGAACAAACCTTCAATCCGGTAAATACAAAACAATCACGAATTCTTGTCAAGGAACGAAAAGTCACCGTACTGAAGGGCAAAACAGCATGTCATGTCGTACCCTAAACCCTAAACCCTAAACCCTAAACATACTGTACCCTAAGCCCTAAACCAGAAACCCTCAACCTTGAATTTCTTGTCCCAAGGGATATACTTACACAATGAAGACTGGGGTCCCACAAAAAACAACTTTACGCCTTAGAGAACCTGCGTTAACTCTTATATGGCCGGCTACATGGTCCCTTCATATGGGCCCTTCAATGAGGACACCTTACATACCCCTTGCACACCGCCCACACTTCGTAATCATGTAAAGAAGGTAAGGGACACAGGGACCGTGTACCCTAAACCTTAAACCCTAAACCCTAAACCCTGAACCCTGAACCCTAAACCCTAAACCCCCCTTAGAGCTTCAGGCCCTGCGGAGCTTCAGGGTTTAGGGTTTAGGGTGCCGATGTTCAGCACGCACCCTCCCTGTCCAGTGGTCATTCTTCGACTGGGTAGGGAACATCGGAGCCACAAGGCTTCTTGGGTCAGTTAGGGTTTAGCGTCTAGGTTTAGGGTTTAGGGTTGAGGGTTTAGGGTTGAGGGTTGAGGGTCTGAGGGCTGGTAGGGATGTTTTTGCGGGGCTTCTTGAGCCTCGACTTCGACGTAGCCACCATCGTCTAAATCCAGCAGCTTGAAGAATGACCAAGCCTCGGGTTTAGGGTTTGGGGTTTAGGGTTTAGGGTTTAGGGTTTTGGGTTTAGGGTTTAGGGTTTGGGGTTTAGGACGTTTAAGGGTTCGGGGTTTGGGGGGCTTAGGGCTTAGAGGGTTCAAGTGATTGAAGAAGAGCCTGCTCTAAGGGAGAAGAGGTTAGGGTTTAGGACTTAGGGTTTCGGGTTTAGGGTTTCGGGATTAGGGCGTAGGTCTTAGGGTGTTAGGGGAACTCCCCGAGCCCTAAAAAGAATCGAAGATGCATGCCGAAGTCGACCCTAAACCCTAAACCCTAAACCCTAAACCCTAAACCGTAAACCGTAAACCTGAAACCCTAAACCCTAAACCCTAAACCCTTAACCCTAACCCTAAACCCTACAGGGGCTTCAGAGTTTAGGAGTTTAGGGTTTCCGTGTGGGTCCTGACACCCTCGACATCAGCCCAGCATCGTCCCACACATCCAGGCCCAGGACTTCGAAATACGCCTGGCACAATGGTGGGCTTGGGGCTTAGAGGCTTAGTGATTAATGGTATGAAGGGGTTTAAGGGTTGAAGGGTTTAGGGTTTTCAAGGGTTGAAGAGTTTAAGGGTTTTATGGCTTTCAGGGTTTAGGGGCTAAGGGCTTTCGAGGGTTTAAAGGGATTTCGAGGGTTTCAGGGAATCCTCGAGGGTTTAATGGTTTTTGAGGATCTAAAGGCCTACAAGCTGGGTCTTTCTTGGCCACCTGAACGGCCGGTGAGTTAATCTTCTCCTCGAACATGGCGAAGGTGATTGCACCAGTCTTGTCCTTAGGTCTTGGGGTTAGGGTGCAGTGGTCAGCTATAGGCCCTAAACCCTAAACGCTAAATCCTAAACACTAAACTCTATCTTTCAAGCCCCTTGCCAAAGCATAGTGGTTGACGTCTCTGAGCGACACGGCTTGGCGCCGTCAAAATGCTGGCAGCGTGTTTTCAGGAATGCTGCTCTCAAAAGCTTTAGGCTTTCGGGTTTAGGGTTTCAGGGCTTCAGGGTTTAGGGTTTAAGCAAAAACTCAAAGCATATATATGTATATATATATATATGTATGTATATGAATATGTATATGTATATGTGTATAAATAAAAAATATTATGTATATATATATATTTATATTTATAGATACACATACATATTATATAGAGACACAGGCAATGAACTGGGTCTGGGGTTTAGGTTTAGGCCTTAGGGCTTCGGGTTGTCGTAACCAGTGATTGCGGAACATCTCCCTTTTGAAGGCTGCACGGGTTGCTCTAGGTACGGTTCAGGGGTTGAAGGCGCCAATTCACAGAAAATGTTAAAGCGACCTAGATGCTGAACACGGTTGGACAACATACTGTAAAGGCTACCAAGGGATCGTCTGCAACATATACATCCTAAACGCCTCTGATGTAGTTCCTTTTATGCGTCATGCGCGTTATCACCGTAAACACTGAAACCGGCCAAAAAGGGAGCTGCAACGGAGTCCTACCGCAATGCTAGATGCAATTCACTTGCCCACGACCCTCACCCGAAATTCTCGTCATTTTTCAAGGCAAGTGCAAACCTTAGAAGCACAATAAGAACGAATGACCTGTTTAGGGACTCTAACCCTAAACCCGAAAGCCCCAAACCTCAGGGTGTGTTTTGGGCTGTTTTGGGCTGTTTTGGCTTTTTTTGCATTGTTTCCATGGCTTTTGTAAAGCTTTTAGGGCTTGGAGTCTTTTGGGAGGTGAGGGTTTGTCAAGGTGGTGCAGATATTGTTGGGGTGTAGGGTTTAGGGGATTCGGGTTTGGTTTAGGGCCCTAAACCCTAAACCCTAAACCCTAAACCCCAAACCCTAAACCCTAAACCCTAAACCCTTGTCTCAAGATTTGGGAATGATGGGCAGCTCTTCTGAACCGGACAAGGCATCCTCCAAAGGCAGACATCGCACTTTATTCGATTTTCTACAAGGAGGGGCCTTACTACACTAACTACAGTTTAGGGACCTATAACCTAAGTTAGGATCCTTATAACCCAATTTAGGGCCCCACTAACTACAGTTTAGGGGACCTATAACCTAAGTTAGGATCCTTATAACCCAATTTAGGGCCCTTATAACTCTACTTGTAACTAGGGGGGGCCCCTCCTTGTAGCTCAAGCTCTAAGCCCCTAGACCTTCTATTTGCTTCAGAACCCACCTAGCACATGAAGAATCAGAAACCCGATATCACCCTAGGAAGAAGTTTTTTTTTGTTTGGGGGGGGGGGGGGGGGGGGGGGGGGCGGGGATTCTTCAGCAAAGAAAAAGTTGTGGAACCAAAGCCCTAAGGCCATCAGCCCAAATTGCCGTACTCTAAACCCTAAACCCTAAACCCTAAACCCTAAACCCTAAACCCTAAACCCTAAACCCTAAACCCTAATTCCACGAGCCGAGATTCGTCCCCCAACTTGCTGAAGAGCGCCTTGATCTTGTCGACATGAGCCTTCTTGTTCTTGAGGATGGAGTGGACCTTGCTAGAAACCCTAACCCCAATGGTTTAGGGTTTAGGGTTTAGGGGTATTTTTTAGGGTTCCTAAACCCTAAACACCAAAACCTAAACCTTTTTGTCCCTAAACTGGGCATTCAGAAGGGGTTCCTATTTGGTAGCTGCTTGGCCCAAGTTTCTAAATCGGGGCCTAGTAGGGGTTTTGGCATCTTTGAGGTTTAGGGTTTAGGGTTTAGGGTTTAGGGTTTAGGGTTTAGGGTGTAGGGTTTAGGGCCCCAAACCCTCCACCCGAAGCGCATTGCAATGAGCAAATGAACGTGCTTAGCCTCCTGCTTGACTCACCCCGACATCATGAACCCCCCTCTAAGCCCCTTGGTTGAGAAAAACTGAAGCTTAAAAGGCTCACATGGGTCCCTAAACCCTTATGGCAAAACCCTAGCTTGAACCCCTCAACCCCAAACACGTAACCCTTGAACCCTAAACCCGAAACCCAAAATCATCTTTCCGTAGTGCCCTGAAGCTGAGATGCCACAGCTGTGTGATCATTCTGGGCGCTCTCAATCGCGCTTTGACAGAACACTCCTCATGGGCTTGGGCCCTAAACCCTAAACCCTAAACCCTAAACCCTAAACCCTAAACCCTAAACCCATTTGGGCTCGGGCTTACAGAGCTTAAAGGGCTTACAACACGGAGAGGGTTTATGAAGTTTTTGGGGTTTGCAGGCTGCAACTGTATAGGTCTCGTATGCACTCACAATCTCGGATTGTAGGGGGTCAGTTTGGTTCTTATTCGGGTTTTTGAAAGGGTGAAAAGGGGAGAGGGTGGGGGCGGGGGTGTGGGGGGGGGGGGGGGGGGGGGGGGGGAAGAAGGTCTCTGTTCGCGACAGTCCCAATCCCCAGAAGCTGCATCATGAACCCCTACAACTCCCTGAACATCAGCCCCCCAAACCCTATAAACCCCAATTACACCCTAAAACTACTTTCGCTTCATGCAGAATGTAGAGTTATGGGTTTAGGGTTTAGGGTTTAGGGTTTGGGGTTTAAATTACACCCTAAGACTACTTTCGCTTCATGCAGAATGTAGAGTTCTTCTGAGTCAAGGACTCCCTCAAGCGCAACCTTCGCAGCAAACTCACAAAACCTGACCGAGGCCATGAGCCCGAATGCAGACACATGACGCAGAATCAGGAACCTGCTGATATGAAGTAAGGTTTAAGGGTTTAAGGGTTTAAGGGTTTAAGGGTTTAAGGGTTTAGGGTTTAGGGTTTAGGGTTTAGGGTTTAGGGTTTAGGGTATATATTTCTTGTACCCCCAAAAGCACACCAGGTATATACACTCACCAATATTAAAAAGGAACTTTATATACACTCATCATTAACAGTAATATGAACCCTGCTTCATACAAGTACAGAGGGCTCACGCTGCACGACACGATCTGCGAAACTTACAACATATGACAAAAGCACTCGCTCACTCTCTCTCTCTTTCCCTCCCTCCCTCCCTCCCTCCCTCCCTTCCTCCCTCGCTCTCTCTCTTTTGTTTTTTTATTGTTTCCGCCTTTTTTCCAGCGACACGAGCAAAACGTCGACAATGAGATTGCGGAGCGACCCTCTTCTGATGTATCCACTTTATTAATTAACAAGAAGCCAAATTGCAGCATTCCGCAACCACTGCACAGCCGCTGCGCGACGCGCACGAAGACACCTCGCAAGATTCCCCAAGTACGGCTTCTGCAAACAAACACAGCGCAAGACGATGCCCAAACACAGGATTTCGTAACTGTAGCAGCCGGGCGACACGCACGAACGCATGGCAAAACCATGCCGAAAGGCAGGATTCCGCAAACAGCCGCTGCGCGACACGAATCGCGAACACATCGCGAAACGATGCCAACACGCCCACAGAGGCTTTTGCAACTACAGCCCCGGCCACACGCACGAACACGTCGCGAAACGAGCCAAAACACAGTTCCGCGGCAAGTAATACTGTATGTTGCCGCCGCGGGACATGCACGAAAGCATCACGAAACGCTGTCCAAACGCGCGGACAGATTTTTGTCACCTTCTCTATGCCTGGACTTGCAGCGGGAGCCCTTGTCCGAAAAGGCCCACAGCCCCCAACCCCAAAAGGAGAACACGAGCTTGCTACTTCAATAACATGTGAAACCCTAAACCCTGTAAAACGTAGGCTGTCATGAGGCCATGCCAGATCCTAAGTCCGAAGACCATAAGCCCTAAAATGCTCAGCAGTGAGCAGTGTGCAGTGTTCAACTTTGGAGTTTAGGGTTCAGGGTTTAGGGGTTATAAGTGTTTAGGGTTTAGCCTCTAAACCAAAGCCTCTAAACCAAAAAGCCCTACACCCTACACCAGGTTGCCCAGTTACCTAGGACTAATAAACGGTGGCCTTTATTGCATCAAGGTGTCTACAAAGGGAACCTAAGCCCCCAAAAAGGAATAAGACTACTACACCAGGTTGCCCAGTTACCTAGGACTATAAAAGGGGCGGCCTTTTTGCATCAAGGAGTCTATAAGGGGACCTACAAGCCCTCAAACAAGAATAAGGGCACTCCTGGGCACACAAGTAAACTCCATCCTAAACCCTAAACCCTAAACCCTAAACCCTAAACCCTAAACCCTAAACCCTAAACCCTAAACCCTAAACCCTAAACCATCCTATCTGGGTCCTGTCACGACATTGAGGACGGCGAAGAGTGTGAAACCTGATCAAGAAGGTTTGGGTTTAGGGTTTAGGGTTTAGGGTTTAGGGTTTAGGGTTTAGGGTTAAGGGTTAAGGGTTTAGGGTTTAGGATTTAGGTTTAGGGTTTAGGGTTTAGGGTTTAGGGTTTAGGGTTTAGGGTTTAGGGGCAGGGTTTAGGGTACCGGGTTTAGGGCTTAGGGTTTGGGGTTTCGGGCTTAGGGCTTAGGGCTTAAGGCTTAGGGTTTAGGGTTTAGGGTCTAGGGTCTAGGGTCTAGGGTGCGTAGCTATGTGTGTACCTCCCAACAAATAGAAAAGCCTTTTATAGGAAGCGCCAGAGCGGATGGACCATTTAAGAAGAGCCACCCTACAGCCCGCAAATAAGCCTCAAGAAACCCTGCTTTTGTCCAACAACATTTCCCACAATCCCCCCCCTCTCCCCCCAAAAAAAAGAAGAAAAAAGTAGCAGTGCTCATAATCCCCGTACTCAACCCTATGAGAGGACCTTTCTTTCACGCGTTCTCGGTTTGACTAGCCCATCCATTTGGGGAGCCAAAACCCTAAACCCTAAACCCCAAACCCCAAACCCTAAATCCTAAACCCTAAGCCCTATGTACACCCTCAACCCTAAACCCTAAACCCTAAACCCTAAAACCTAAACCCTAAACCCTAAACCCTAAACCCCAAACAGGGCGGTCCTCTGTTGGCAGCCAGGGGGCTGATGTAGAAGAGGAAAAGAAATCCCCAAATCTCCGACCTTACTTCTCCAGTAACCAACAAGTTCGTGGTTTAGGGTTTAGGGTTTAGGGTTTAGGGTTTAGGGTTTAGGGTTCAGGGTTTAGGGTTTAGGGTTTAGGGTTTAGGGTTTAGGGTAAGTTGGAACATGGTTCAAGGATGATTAGAGCTGGGATGCCCTTTAGTATACATTTTTGGGGTATGGGGATAAGGATGTTCCAACTTTTTGGAGTTTACTGTAGGGCTTACCTAGGGGGACCCCTGTTCCTCCAGTCTTATGGGTTGTACCTAAAAAAATAAGGTAGCTACTACTAAAATAGAGTCCCAGGTAGGGTTAGGGATACCAAAAAAGGCACAAGCAAAAATCTTTGAGTACAACTACTCCAGCAACCAACGGGTGTAACCCTAAACCCTAAACCCTAAACCCTAAACCCTAAACCCTAAACCCTAAACGCAAAAAAACAAAACAAAACAAAAAAACGAAAAGTCTTGAGTACAACTATTGGCAGAGTATGCGACACTGCCAGCAGCGGTGATATGACATCTTCCCAGCTGACGCCGCCGGCGATGCTCATGTACAGACTCAGCCTGGGTAGAGGAGTTTCCCTTACCTTGTTTAATGTAGGGTTTCGGGTTTAGGGGTTTTGGGTTTAGGGTTTAGGGTTTGGGGCTTAGGATTTAGGGTTTAGGATTTGGGGTTCAGGGGTTGGGGGCTTTGGGTTTAAGGTTTTGGGGCTTGGGCTTTTGGGGGGTTTGGGGGGTTTCGGGCTTGGGCTTCGGGTCTTTCAGTCTCTGCTTGGGGGAAGTTGTTCCAAGTTCTGAGGCCCCCAAAACCCTAAACCTTATACAAGGAGGGCCCCCCTACTAGACTAACTGCTGTAAAGGGCCTTATAACCCTACTTGTGACTAGGGGGGGCCCTCCCTGTAGCCCTAAACCCGAAAACCCGCAAAACCGTAAACCCAAAAGCCTAGAAACCCTAAGGGCTAGGCCCCAAACCCCAAACCTTTTAGGCGGGGCTTGAGGGGCTCAACTCACGCGTGCGGGGATTCGGATCGGCTTCTGGGGTGTCAGGGGTTGGTGAGTTCGCTTCGGAACTGTCCGTGAGAATGCATGCATATACCCTGGACCCTAAACCCTAAATCCTAAATCCTAAACCCTAAATCCCAAACCCTAAACCCTAAATCCGAAACCCTAAACCCTAAAGTGGCACCGAATCCGGAGCGACTACTCGTTTTGGGCTTCAACGGCCTGAGGATGGAACATCAAAGGACGTAAGAACACACAGGAGGTACCCCAAGGGTCCATGTGCCTAAATAGGGAATACTTGGGTCTTAAAGTACTTGCTATATACCCCTAAACCCTAAACCCTAAACCCCAAACCCGGGAATTTGGGGCCCAAGTAAATAACAATGAGATATATGGACCCTGAGAGTTCACGCGGCTTTGAGGTTGATTAGGATTTATGGGGGGTTCACAGGGTTTACACAGGGTTGATATATATATATATATAGGGCTTCTATTTGGTCTACAGCGCTTGTATGACTTACACGAAGGGGCCCCCCTAGTTATAAGTAGAGTTATAAGGACCCTAGATTGGGCTATAAAGATCCTAACTTAGGTTATAAGTACCTTAACTATAGTTAGTATAGTAAGGGGGCCCCTCCTTGTATAGGCTTTTGTAGGGTGATTAGACATTGAAGGGGGTTTGGGGTTTAGCAGTCTTTTTGGGCTTCATGAGCGGATCCCTCCAGTGCTTCTGACTGAAGAAGCCAGGAAGCATTGAATTGGCAAGGGAGCCAAAATACTTGTTCGCGAGCTCCAGCTCTCTAGCCGTCAAGACAGTCGATATCGCTGCATCATGTTCCAGCAGGAAGTCGTTCACGGCTTGCGTAAACAGAACTCCTAGGTCTGTGCAAGCGATAAACCCGAGGGAGCCCAGACCGGAGAGAGCTAGGGTGGGGAGAGTTGCGGGCGTTAGCCCGGGTTAGGGCTTACATGTGTGAGTTTTCCCCAAAGCCCCAAAGACGTCTGCACATGGATCCAGGTTTCCGAAGACGTAGACAATCACAATGAGCAGCATCAATGCCCAAAATAAAGACCTGCAGCGATTTCGGCGATTCGGCTACCCCACTCTCTCAAGACACTACGACCCTTTAAACCCTAAACCTTTGATTCTGCAGTCTTCCCTAGCCCTAAACCCTAAACCCTAAACCCTAAACCCTAAAGAGGGGGATGCAGAAAGGCGGGCACCCTCTGCTGCCAAGGCGCTTCAAGGTGTACAAGATGGATGTAATCAGAGTCCGGAAGGCCATGACAAAGCGAAAGACCCGCATCAATCGAACGGCTTTCCTAGGTAGCCCAGTAGCCGGAAAGCATATTGCAAGGAGGGCACTTGTTTGGGGGGGTTGGTTACTTAATGAGGGAACCCCCTTAAACCCGAAACCCGAAACCCGAAACCCTAAACCCTAAACCCTAAACCCCGCAAGAAAAAGGGCAAAAGGGTACCACTGGGCTAGCAAGTTGCACCACGCGCGTAATCCGTATGATGCGGAACCTTGAGTGGCCGATTCCATGCCAGGGTGTTTAGGGTTTAGGCATTAGGGTTTAGGGTGCCACGTGTAGGGGGTTTAGAGGGGGCTTGGAGCTTCAATCCCAAAACCCTGAACCCTGACCCCAAACCCCAAACCCTAAACCCTAAACCCTAAACTTCAAGCTCTAGACCCCTAAACCCTACACCCACGAAATGCAGTTTGGCCTGCGAAGCAAGCTGGATGCTGTGACATGCCGGTGAACTTGGCATGTTCAACTCGAAGGCGGCATGGAAGAGCGCCCCCCGGCTGCAAAAGTAGGATAGATGTATGAACCATAAGCCTTAAACCATAAACCTGAAGCCCTAAACCTTAAACCCTAAACTCTGAACCCTAAAAACACACATATGTATATATATATATATATATTATGTATATGGTCATACATACATACATACATACATACATACATACATACATACATACATACATACATACATACATACATACATACATACATACATACATACATACATACATACATTACATGTATGTATGTATGTATGTATGTATATATATATATACTCTTCAGCTGGGTTGCGCTCGCAACCCTGACACACTTGCAACATTGCCCACGTCGTCTTCCAGGATCAGAAAGGCCAGGTCGGTGATCATCTCCCAGATGGACGTGACAACAACCTTGTCCAAAGGCCCGGCTAGCCCTTGGGACCCGAATGAAAATGTTTTCATGCAAATGGAATCAACTCAAGAACGTCGCCAATCTCCCTCCTCGTCCCCTAAGCTAGGAAGCCTGCGCAAGCACGGGGTCTTGATCGGAGAGGCTTTCAAGTCTCAAGCTTTTGTTCTATTGCCGTCAACAAGTGTACCATTTCTCAATCCGGGTTCGGGTTTAGGGCCAATGGTCCTAACTCAGGCAGACCTCACCCAAGCCAACAGACCTATGCAACTCATGGCACTGCGGAAGCTGACCATAGGGAGGGTTTTGTTGGGTGTACGGTTTCGGGTTTAGAGTGCAAGAGAACTACACCCTAAACGTCCCTGAGCCCTAAACCCAGAACCCTGGAACCCTAAACCCTAAACCCCTAAACCCCTAAACCCTAAACCCCTAAATCCCTAAACCCCTAAACCCCTAAACCCCTAAACCCCTAAACCCCTAAACCCCTAAACCCCTAAACCCCAAAACCCCTAAACCCCTAAACCCCTAAACCCCTAAACCCCTAAACCCGAAACCCAGAACCCTGGAACCCAAAAACCCGGGCTAAGCCGCTAAGCGAAGCCGAACTACGCCTCAAGCCTGGCACGAAGGTTCAAGGGGGAAGCCATGTCTGGCTCAGCAGTCCCTAAACCCTAAACCCTAAACCCTAAACCCTAAACCCTAAACCCTAAACCCTAAACCCTAAACCCTAAACCCTAAACCCTAAACCCTAAACCTCCAGCTTCAGGGACCATCCCGGCCTTTGCCTTGAAAGAGGAGTTGGTGCCTCGAAGTTGTGTCCTTGGCACGCCTTCCTAGGTCTACCTGCTCTACTAGTAAGGCAATAGCATAAACCCGAACCCGAAAGCCCTAAACCCTAAACCCTAAACCCTTAACCTAAACCCTAAACCCCAAAAGCCTAATTTAACCCTAAACCCCTAAAGCCTAAACGTACCGGAAGCCGTCGTAGTGCTGTCTCCGGGAACGAAAACATCCAGCGCGCTCCACATCCAGTCATCAGAGCAGAGGTACCTCGTGGGTGTAGGGTTTAGGGTTTAGGGTTTAGGGTTTAGGGTTTAGGGTTTCGGGTTTAGGGTTAGTTCCATGGTCCCTTAGTATGGGCCCCTGCGTGAGGACCCCCTGCATACCCCTTATCTACAATGCACAACCCAAGCAAGGGCCCGTACTTCAGAACCCTTTGAAGGAAGCAAGGGACCATCTAAGCTGGGAACCTTGGGCCCTTAGTATGGTCCCTTACCCTTGTTTAAAGGGATCCGAAGTATGGCCCCCCTACTATGTGTAAGTAAGGGTTATATAGCCAGGGACCCAAGTTAAGGGCCTATACTTGGAACCCTAAACCCTAAACCCTAAACCCTAAACCCTGAACCCTAAACCCTAAACCCTAAACCCTAGGGTTTGATTGCAGAAGGGTTTTCGAGTTTAGGGTTCAGGGCTCGATGTCCAGCTCCGAGTTGAAGGTCTTCTTGCCATTTTGGGGGGTTTGGGTTCATTTAGGGTTTAGGGTTTAGGGTTTAGGGTAGGGGTTTAGGGTTTAGGGTTTAGGGTTTAGGGTTTAGGGTTTAGGGTTCAGGTTTTTGGGGCAGATGTCTCTTTGCAAACCGTATATCGGCTGCTCTGGGCAACCCCTCTAGGGGTTCTACCTGGAACCCTTAAGGAGGTACCCTTGGGTTTTCGGGGCCCTTTTCTAAGGATCCCTATGGGAATATGAATATGAGGGCCACATTAGGAGTATATTCAGGGTAACCTTTAGGGGTACAATCTTAGGGGTACGAGTCTTCAACCCTTGAACCCCCAACCCTAAAACTTCTACGCACGAACCCTAAACCCTAAACCCTAAACCCTAAACCCCCAGGTGCAGCTCCAGATGCTGTCGTGCGCCATCGGCTCCCATCCGCAAAGCGAGCTCGATAATGAACCATCCCTTGCCACGTGGGGTTTAGGGTTTATAGGGTATAGGGTATAGGGTTTAGGGTTTAGGGTTTAGGTTTAGGGTTTAGGGGGTTTAGGGGTTCGAGGGTTTGGGGGTTTAGGGGTTTAGGATTTAGGGTTTAGGGGGTTTGGGGGGTTTGGGGTCTGGGGGTTTGGGGGTTAGGAGTGGCCAGTTCATAATCGTAGGCGTTATATTTGGGGCTTGTAGGGCTTGTAGAGTTTGTAGGGCTTGTAGGGACTGCAAGGTTTATGAGGTGCTTCTAGGGTATATGGTGTTTAAAGGGCTTCAAGGGTTTTATCAGGCTCCAAAGGTGGTTGCAATGTTGTTAAGGAGGGATAGGGTTTATGTCTTAGAAAGTTTAGGGTTTAGGGATTCTAGGGTTTGTATCGTATGGGGTCGACGACTATTTGTTTAATGGGGTGTCTTTAGGGCTTGTAGGTTTAGAGTTTCGGGTTCAAGGGTTTGCGTTTTTTATAGGGTTTTCAGGGCTTTTCGGGTTTAGCGGGCTTAATCTGAATTATATCTTATTTTAAGACAGGGTTTAGAGTGTAGACTTTAGGGATTGTGGTTTAGGCTTTTGGGCTTTTTAGGGTTTACGGGGCTTCAAGGAGTCCATTGGGTTTGTATGGTTTATTGGGCTATACATATATACGGATACTCATATAATCGGCACAGATCGAAAACTAGACCCAAGAGTAACCTAGGAATGCCAAAAAGGGTGCCCTTTTTGGTTTGAAGGGCCTTGCAAGGGAACCTAAAGCCTAAACAAACAAACAAAAAAAAGGCCTGCTCTTGGCCCTAGTAGCCTAAACACCCTAAGCCCTGAACCCTGACCCTAAACCCTGAAACAAAGCAAGGGCCTCCTCTGGGTCCTAGGAAAAAGACTCTTAGTTGCTGAGTACATAAGCCCTAAAAGTGTACACTTTCAGTTCTATAGGGGGTTCTAGTATCCCAAAAGGTGTAAAGTGTGCTCACTCAGCTTCTAAGGGGTCTAGGGACTAAGTGCAAGGGTTGGGCGCTCAGGGTGGATAGGAGGCCCTCCTCCGCTCATGAAGCCTCCCCAAGCCCCTTAGAGGGCATTTCGAAGGGCACTCCGAAACCCTAAACCCTAAACCCTAAACCCTAAACCCTAAACCCTAAACCCTAAACCCTAAACCCTAAACCCTAAACCCTAAACCCTAAACCCTAAACCCTAAAACCTAAACCCTACATAAACCCCTAAACAGGACTACTTGGGTGGTCCGTAGATGGGGTTCTTTCATCTTGGGGGGCAGTAGAGACTCTGGGGTCAGGGCTTTAGGTTGAGGGCGTTGGGTGCACAACCCTACAAAGAGGGGCCCACCTTCTAGGGTTTAGGGTTTGGGGTTTAGGGCTACAGGAGGGCTAGTCATAAGCAGAGTGACAAGGACCCTAAAGTGGTTATGGGACCCGAACTTAGGTTCTAAGTCCCTTAACTATGGCTAGGATAGTCTCCTTGTAAGCCCCAAGCCCTAAATCCCTAAGTGGAGCTGGCAGCCCGGGTGCGGTGTAGAGATAGCGTGCAATGTTCAGCCCCTCAGGAACCACGCCCATGTTGTCTATGCCTGGGCTGTCTGGGGGGAGGGGGGGGGGGGGGGTGCCGGATTCGGAGTTCGGTGGGTGAAGAGTTACTAGACGCAGGAAGAGCCTCGGCATAAAAGGGTGCTCTCTTTTGGTTAAAAAGGGGGTTACAAGGAACCCAAACCCCGTCAAAAAAGAGAAATACGGGCCTACTCTGGGTCCTAGTAGCCCCAAACCCTAACCCTAAACCCTAAACCCTAAACCCTAAACCCTAAACCCTAAACCCTCAACCCTAAACCCTAAACCAAAGAAGGGAAGCGGCCTACGCTAAATGCTAGGCTATGAGATTGACGCGCAGACTGCACGTCTGCGCAGAGGATCCTGGCCACTGCTGGCACTACCGAACCAGGGTTTAGGGTTTAGGGTTTAGGGTTTAGGGTTTAGGGTTTAGGGTTTGAAGGAAGGGGTGGAGCCCTGTAGAGACCCCACACTCCAGGCAAACAAGAGCTGGAACCCGAAGAACCCCTTTGTAGGAGCCGGCTCTTTCCGAGTTGCTGGACTGAACTTCGACGCCTGACACCGGGTTTATAGGATGTATAGGGTTTATAGGGTTTAGAGGGTTTATAGGGTTTAGAGGGTTTGAAGGTTTTACAGGGTTTGATTTATTTTGTGTATGTAGGGTTTATAGGGTTTATATATAGGGTTTATCGAGTTTATAGGCTGCGAGTGCTGGTTTTGTCTGCGGCTTTAGTGGTTCTGGCTCTAGATTTCAGTACATCACACGATGTAAGAGAACAAGTTACATAACATGGCACAACATAGAATCACGTAACTTAAGTTTTCATACTCAACCAGCACAATAAGATGCAATACGATGGTATGCGCAGTTCGGGGCTGAACCGGGATCTCAGGAGGGGTGCCTGCTTAGCCTCCAGAGAGCACGCAATCTACTTCAGAAAGTACGTGCGAGCCGTGCAGGTGACGCAGGAGCTATGTGCTTGATTCCAAGTGTGGCCTTCAGGGCTAGTCCCACACAATGGCGCACCTAAACTCTAAACAACCAAAAAAACCTTACTGTTGGTTAGTAGCATGGGCCTATAGGCTAGATTTCCGGGTAGAAGAAGTGCTTAGAACATCGCTTTGGCGGCGACCTTGCACTGTAAGGTTCAGAGAGGCATAGGGTTTCGGGTTTAGGGTTTAGGGTTTAGGGAGTTTAGGGTTTAGGGTTTAGGGTTTAGGGTTTAGGGTTTAGGGTTTAGGGTTTGCAAGCTGCTGCCTAAGAAAATCGAGTTGGAGATCACCACGAAGGCGCAAAAGATGTCGAAAGTGTTGTTCTTGACAAGCCTTGCGGCTGACAGAGCGGTTCAGAGACATCTGAAACTCCAGAAATGTAAGCCTCTAAACCCTAACCCCTAAACTAAACCCAAACACAAAACCCTAAACCCTAAACTGAAAACCCTAAACCCGAAA